CAGAATTTTCAAGGACATAAATTAGGACGAACTTTAACTTAATTGGCTTGTGAGGTTAATATTCTCTACATGGTTTTAGAAAACAGGATATAAACAAATACAATTAGATTTGCACGAATTTATCACAACAAATTCAATTTGATTGTTTACACTTTATTAGTAGGAATAATGTAGTTATCAGTCCACATTCCAGGCAACACCTTGAAAACTCAAAAAAATATTTAGGCCTGTCAGCCTGAATATATATCTTTCTATCATCCATCCATCCATCCATCCATCCATCCATCCATCCATCCATCCATCCATCCATCCATCCATCCATCCATCCATCCATCCATCCATCCATCCATCCATCCATCCATCCATCCATCCATCCATCCATCGACACCATCCATCCTTCTATCGGTCCGTCTGTCTGTCGGTCTATCCATCATTCCGTTGTCTGCCTGTCTCTCCTTCCATCAGTTGTCACTCTGTACGTATGTTCGTCTGTCTGTCCTTTCGTCCTTTGGCTGTACCGAATTACCTCTGGCAGATACAAACCTTTACCGGAAGAAATTTCACATTTTGGAGAATTGCTGAAAGCACGCGACCAAGAGGTAATCAACGATACAAACGGGGAATATCTTCAAGGTATAGTTTGATAGCAATCTCAGGAGGCCAGAATATAAAAAATATACCCTTGACGTCAATTTGTGTTTTATTTGTGTGTGTGAAGACAGCGCTTGACTGATTAATTCAAACAGGACCAAAACGTTAATGTATCGAACTAAAAGGTTTAAAGTCCATTTTGCCTATCCACTTCTGGACACTGTTCTTGCTCCAGGAATTAGATTTTGCATGCAAATCCGTTTAAACCTTGCCTTTTTGTTTGTATACTGTTCATTCCTTGCCTCTTAGACAGATTCCGTCTGGCTTCGAAACAAGCGGCTATTCCAACTACGTTAGCCAGGCCCCCAGTTGGGAACCTGTTTCTTGAATGACAGCGAGGAGGCATAGATAGGTTTTGACGAGACTAAATCCTGATCTTGGTGCACCTCCAGTGTTGCCACTTTTCTTTGACAAAAAGCATCCAAAACAGAGTCAAAAATACCTAAATTTGGGTGAAAAACATCTTTAAAAATATCCAAATGGAAAGAGTCACAAATTACACAGCAATTTATATGACTTATACTTTAGAATCGTGTCCTCATCTTTACTGAGTCCAATCCAACATCCAAAATGACTCTGGTATGCGTTAGCTGTTCCAATATCTTTTAATACCCAATCAGGTAGCGATAAGTGGAACAGCCTTTTCCTACTCTTATCAGGCCGAATTTTATTGACAAAATAGCATTTAAAAGGTCCAATTTCACCCTGTTTCTCAGGTTAGATTTGATAAATTCACTCTAAATGAAAAACATCTAGAAAACATCTACCATCTAAACGTCAAAAACGCCATCTCAATGCAAGGGAAAACATATAAATCTGGATGTAAAACATCCAAAGTGGCAACACTGTTCACCACCACATGTAGATCTGAACCTCAGCATCCCTCTGAAGACAAATCATCTTCCATTTAAATTTCAACCAACGAACAACTACCCATTTCCCATTTTCGTTTTCCCGCTAAACTATCCAAACAACTATTCACAAGGTCAGTCACTCCAGAGCAATAACAGCCATCAGCATCCTCAACCATAGAGCAACCTTTATATCTCACGTAAACAAAATTACCCGGCAACTGTAGACAAATTAGCCTCTAAAGCGTGACATTTACCACATCATTCGCTTTGCATTCAATTTTAAAAGCAGTTCTCACTTCAGAACTGTCGTCAGCAAACTAATTATTTGCTCTAAAGCTTCGTGATGTTAACATTATACCGACTGTTTACTGGGTTCATTATGTTTATTGATCTGTGATCTCTAGGGTACATAACAAAATAAAAATGAACTCATACGGTCTTTGAGATCGTTCTGTGTCGCATTTGGTGCATAAAGCAGTAGACGCTAGGTAAGTATATTTTATAAGTTTGGTTACCCTCACAGAACTCCAGGTAGGTCAAGTGGCGCGTATACACCCTATCCTCCCCCCCCCCCGACATCAATGCCCTTCAGCTAAAACGCCCAAGTGAAGGACTCTTTTAGAGCCACTAACGCATCGGCCATATGGTACAAATTAATTGACATTGGAATGATGATGTCAAAAATATCACATAGGCCGTCTTTACTTCCTAAGATATTTCCTGGTACCTAATTTAGAATGGATCTACTTAAGAATCCATACATATTATACAAATATGTAACTATGGGGGTGAATGAAGTTGAGCCCCAGTAGTACCGCACACTAAGCTTAAAATACCCAGTGATCCAAAGAGTCACTTTTCGGATTTAAATTCACACAGGTATAATTGCAGGAGCCCCTTTCAACGGGGCTATACTAGGGTCCCCGACAGTACCAGGTAACCCTAATTTCGGACAGGGCAGCTTGATAGTACTATCGGAATTCGAACTCAAGACTTTCGGATCGGCAGACACGTGTCCAGCTTTACGTTATCGCGGCTAATAGATGTAGATGTTTATCACAATAATATATATATAAGGTAAAACAGATTTTGTTCAAGAGCCACTTACCTTATGAAGAGTAATGTCTTGAACAAATCGTTTCTTGTATCTGGGCTTGGACTATTTAGTTATTGAGAAGAACTGTCTCATTTTTCCTTTATTGCTTATCTTCAGTGTCGCTGCGCTATAGCCACATAAATGTTGAATCCCTCCTTTCTTCCGCCCTAGAACATCACATTTGAAAATTGAGATCAAAAGTAAACTATCGGTAGTTGCGAGAAAAGTAATACTTCCTCATCATCATCATCATCCTTTCTTCTTCTTCTTCTTCTTCTTCTTCTTCTTCTTCTTCTTCTTCTTCATCTTCTTCTTCTTCTTCTTCTTCTTCTTCTTCTTCTTCTACTTCTTCTACTTCTTCTACTTCTTCTTCTTCTTCTTCTTCTTCTTCTTCTTCTTCTTTTTCTTCTTCTTCTTCTTCTTCTTCTTCTTCTTCTTCTTCTTCTTCTTCTTCTTCTTCTTCTTCTTCTTCTTCTTCTTCTTCTTCTTCCTCTTCTTTTTCTTCTTTTTTCTTTTTTGCATTCCCCAGCTGTAAATTCCAGTGGAAAGTTCTGGTTGTTTGTCCAGTTCTGGACTTTAGTCCTTAGTTCTGCGTGTACATAGGTTTAAATGCTATGGCTTATTTGTAAGCCAGCTGTTAGTTCATTGTCTCTCGTGCATATGCACTCCGACTTCGAAAGGAACACCTCTAATTAGTCGAATTTTACGGCATGTTTGTTAGAGGAGCCATGGGTTTAGTTTATTGACCCCCCCCCCCTCCCACAAAAAAGGGACACAGGAACCCACATGGCTAAAACATGACTTCTGTTTGATCTATCTAGTCTTCGTGTGGGTTCCGCGGCCCTATTGTGACAGAAATAAAAATAGACCGATTGCCTGCCCAAAAGCATGTCGTAAGATCGAGTAACTGGCAGCTTTCTTCGACGTCGGAGTGCATCTGCTTGACAGGCAAGAGAAAAACAGTCTGCATACAAATCAGACAGTTCTGTAAAACGGATGTACACGCAACACTCAAGTTCTGGAACAAGACTAAAATCCGAATATCCATAACTTTCCGCAAGAGTTTACAGCTGGTGAAAGCGAATAATAATAATAATAATAATAATAATAATGATAATAATAATAATAATAACAAGAAGAAGAAGAAGACCAGGAATTTACAAGTGTACATTGTGTATATTATAAAGTAAAAAATAACATCCATGAAAACGCACTTAGGAGAAATCGTCACAACTGCGCTCATGTCACTTCGGTGCCGTGCCAGCAAATGCTTTAAAACATTCGAAGCATTTGCTTGTTGTATAAAATACTATACTATAACAGTCACGTATGCTAAACTTCTTCACAATCTGTAAATGGACTACGCCACTATCGCCTCACTTGTGATGATATCCTAAGAATTCAGAAACGGTAACGAAAATACATGTGCCACTCAGAAACATACAAAATGCAGTAATATAAGAGCTATACTTATAAATACTTCACAATCTACACAATCTATGTTTGAACTACACCACAATCTTGGCACCCTGTTAAATGTTCTGGATTTCCGTATTATTCACGAAAATGCGTGAAACATATCGTTTCATGGTCATGTCACTTCGGGTTCTAAAACAATCTTTGTGTCCTTGACAATTACTTCTCGAGAAAAACACAGTTAACATTTAACCTCTGCTCTACAGGAGAGTCTAGAATGGTTAAAAATATTCCCAGTAACAAAGGCTTTGAAAAAAGTAAAAGAGGTTCCTCAATACGCCCTTTCCTTAGACCTATATCTTTTTAAAAAAACCAATCAGTGGGTGATGTGATCAACATAGCGCCCGCCGCCGTTACCTCCCAGGACACTAAGTGGTAAATCATTTTAGACTGGGTGGTCCTGGGCGCTAAGGTTAATTTTAAAGGAAAAAATTAAACAGCATCCATCTTGATTATGATTCTTCTTAGCACGTACCGGCTGGAAACTTCGACAGAAAGTTCTGGCTGTTCACCCACATCTAGACTTTAATCTTGTTCAAGAACTTGAGTTTTGGGTGCACATCGTTTTTTTGTGTACATATCTAGCTCATTTGTATGCAGAGTGTTGGTTTCTCACCACTCAGGCAGATGCACTCCGATTTTAAAGGAACCCCCCCCCCCTCCCCCCAATCTGTCGCATTTTACGAGATGCTTATTGTTGCAGTAAGTCTTTGCAACCCCCACCCTCTAAATGGGGTCCCAGAACCTACACAGGAAGGTGCAGTTTGTAAAGCATTCGGGTTTGATTTATCATATAATTACACCCTCTCGTCTCTAAGGCAAACGGGCTAACACTCAGCTGCACTGGCATTTATGTTAATAAAACGAATGTTTTTTTTTTAATTGCAGATTCAGCTTCAGGTGCCAAAATGAAGTCCTTTAATATGACCTTGCATCTCAGTGCAGAAAAATCAGACTTGGAGCGAAACTTGGATCAAATGTTCATTTTAATCATGGCCATGCTGATACAGCGTAAGTACTGTACATTTTCTGTGTGGCACTTATTCATGTCTTGCGTTCCGGTTTTTTTTTTTTTTTTTAATTTCTAGGTAGGTAGGTGGTGGTACCTCACCAGGACATCACACAAGCGATAAACACCCTGTGACACAAAGTGTCCCCATGTGGATGAAGATCACCCGTGGAGAAACTCCTTTCGGCCGTTAGGCCATATCTATGGCTAAGCCATATTTATGGCCAGGCTATGCTCAGGGCCACCGACAAAAGCCAAAAAATGCATCTCATAAAAGGACGAGTTTCTCATATTATTACTGGAGGAACAAAAAATGTGCCGGTTTTCATGACCGAGTTTTTGAACTAAAATGCTGCTACAGAAAAATGCCTAGAATACCGTGCACCCAGAGAGAAAGAGAGACTCTCTCAGGTCTGCCGTGAAAAGAGCGACGTTCTGTAAAGAACATGCTGACTGATTGATTTACTCATCATAGTGTCTACTAAAGGTGCCAGTATGCATCATAGTGTGCCTATCACAATAGCACTGGAAACAGTTATGCCTACAAGAGGTGGCCGGTACTGAGTACTGTTGCGTACCTTTAACATAAAACCCTGCTTGTATTCATTCTCGTCATCACTAAATTCGTCCATTTGTGCCAAAGGACATGACTCCGTGTCCTTGTCTAGACTAATGGACATGGGGGTGCAGCCTGCAGCTGCAAGAAATTAACATTTCACTAAGGGAACAAGACGTTTCATTAAGCAACACAGAACAGGCGTCATCAGTCGTTTTACACTTGTGGAGCTTTCGAGAAGGAGATGGGAGCACCTATCGATTTGTCCAGAGTGCTGTGATGATAATCATTTCTAATCACTAATCTTTAATTCAGTTGTGCCATTATCTGTCACAGGGCTTTCACAGTCTGGTCAACCTTTCTGTGCTAAGCCTCTTTGTTATCCTTTCAAAATCTTGTATGGAATACTGTTCAGCAGCTTTGGTCGCTCTCGGAAAAGTTGGTTTCAAGGTTTCGTCTGGGCATCCTCGTTTCCTCATTCTATTTGTTTGGCATTTTAGTGTTTATTTAGTGAATCTCACCCCAATTTCTCTCACAATGTGCCCAGAATACAAATAAAGTGTCTGTAGCAAAGTTTTGTTTAAGGTTTCTTCTAGTTCTTGTTCTTCTTTTTCTTCTTCTTGTTCTTGTTCTTCTTTTTCTTCTTCTTCTTCTTGTTCTTGTTTTTCTTTTTCTTCTTCTTCTTCTGTTTCTTCTTCTTCTTCTTCTTCTTCTTCTTCTTCTTCTTCTTCTTCTTCTTCTTCTTCTTCTTCTTCTTCTTCTTCTTCTTCTTCTTCTTCTTCTTCTTCTTCTTCTTCTTCTTCTTCTTCTTCTTTTCCTCCTCCTTTTTCTTCTTCTTCTTCTTCTTTTCCTTCTTCTTCTTCTTCTTCTTCTTCTTCTTCTTCTTCTTCTTCTTCTTCTTCTTCTTCTTCTTCTTCTTCTTCTTCTTCTTCTTCTTCTTCTTCTTCTTCTTCTTCTTCTTCTTCTTCTTCTTCTTCTTCTTATTATTATTATTATTATTATTATTATTATTATTATTATTATTATTATTAATATTATTATTTCTCTTCTTGACCTTTCTCTGCTTCTTCTTCTTTATCATCATTTAACGGCTTATAGATTAATTCTAGTTTTTTTTCCTACTGCTGTTTATGCCACAGTCAAAATGGACGCTAATCACGGCCACCTTTTTTTTTTTTAAGCCGTGGCAAATGTTTTTTTTTCTTCTGCCAGACGGTGGCCGTTGCATTTTTGCTCCATTTGTAGACTGGAACAATGTAGTTTCGTCGCCCAGCTTCTGATTTGAGTGCATGGCGTGACACTGTGAGCTGCGTTTGTTTTTCGTTGGCACAGGAGCGGAGCAACTGTGGGGTGACCCGTTTGCTATGAAGCTAAAACTAGGATTACCAGATTACCAGATTATACCACTACCGCCTTCATAACAACAACCACTGCTGGTACAACCACTGGTACTATTACCAGTACTAATACTACTACAGCTTTGACTAGTTACTCCTCCTACTCCTACCACTCACTGAACAGTAAGTACTACTACCGCTGCTTCTACAACCACATTTTCACAAGAACTTTTTGCTAGTGCTACTACAAACACAACCACTACCGCCACTTTCACTAACTGAAAAAAAAAAAAAATTCTTTATGTTAATCCTGTCTATCTCCAGTGATGCAGTTCGGTTTTGCTTTTGTGGAAGCCGGCGTTGTCAGAAGTAAAAACGTGACCAACATCATGATGAAGAACTTACTAGATGTCTGTGAGTATATATTTATAATATATTAATGTAGGCATACGTCATTAATGAGCGGCCATAGAGTTGTGCCGCTTGTTTTGTGATCAGCGTCTGCTGGGACTGTACCGTTCTATTAAATTTTGCTATGAAGCTGAAACTAGGATTACCAGATTATAAAGAGGTTGGTTTTTCTATTAGTCATCTCCATACCGCAATGTGTTTTATTTTCACTGATAGTATCTTATCATGGGTGATTATGTGGATTTTTTGTTTGTTTGTTAGCTGTTGTTGGGAGGTGGGAGGGACATACTATTATGCGACTTCACAACTTGCTGACCATTATCTACATATGATGAGAAAAGACAAACGGAAGACAAGGAGATAAATACGGATCTGGTTTGAGATGGCGAATCACGACCGCCTATGTTTGACGAAATAGCACTTAATAATGACGTGTAGGTACACATTGTGATGTAAATAAAGTAAAAGTAAAGGACCCTTTTCCACGCCTTTAGGCGTATAGGGCATGTAGGGCATGTAGGGCTAGACCTATACCTTTATAGACCAATCGGCACAAGATGGGTGATGTGGTCAGCATCACGCCGGCCGCTTTTACTTTCCCGGGACTGCACCTGGTACAGTGTTATGTAACAGGCAAAAACGATGATGTTCAGAGTGACACAACAGGAGAGAAGAGGATGTACACTGTGGCACTATAAGGACGTAAATAATACATGCAAGTATGCAACTGGATGTTACACTGTATAGTCAGTGATACAACAGGAAGACACTGAGCCACATATTCGATATCCTACCAAAATATTACAAGAGCTGTTGGAACAATGCCTATAATTAAATAAACTGAAAAAAAGTACTGCGTGGAGTTACTAGGGGTTCTGACCGACGCTCGACACTCAGGGAAAAGGTGAGACGGATATACAATCAGAGAGTTGCTGGTTCAAACGGAATTTTAACTATTCGCTTGCTGCTGAAGATGGGGACGGAGCGTTTATGGGGGTGTCCAGTGTGATGTGATGTCGATTCCTAATTTAACATTAAACACAAAATTAGAAACACCAAGACGTAAGGGACGGCCAAGAAGAATATGTATTGAAGGAGTCACTGATATCTTGAGACTTCACAACATCAAAGCATACCGGGCAGCTGAGCATGTCCTAGTTCGGATACCGATCATCTAATAAATATATATATGTTAGTTGCGTATCCTTAACTGGACGTTGCAGAACCAAGCCTGTGTGGTTTTTCTAGGCAAATTTACGTCCAGTAGTTTGCCATTGCTTCCTGGACGGTCGGCTTTCTTGATACCACTGTCGAAACCAACGCAAATGGCCCGCATCCCAGCATTACGAAGCGTTCGCATCGACTAAGCCCCAGAGCTGACAATATATATATATATATATATATATATATATATATATATATATATATATATATATATATATATATATATATATCCATGCCACAATGCCAATCTATTCTAATCAGTCTGGCTGTGTCTTCCACCTCTACGTTTTTTCCCTTTCTTTTTTCCTGTTGTCACGATTAAATCAGTTTTTTCCTTCATAGAATATTGTGAATTCAGTTCTTCTAAGGCAGGTATTAAATTTTCGCTGTGAGCTCAATTCTGTGAAGATCTTTATTATATTAGTCTTTAAATGTGTCCACGGTGTTCTCGTATTTCTTATTTGAAAGCTTCTGATACACCGTGGACAGTTTCGCACTTACTGATTTAAAATGCAGTGACTCCTAGTAAATTCGTCATCATCATATAGTAGGTTCTTTGCAGAGCGTCGCTCTCATCATAGTTTTTGCCTGGAAAAAAAAAAAATCCATCTCTTTCTCCAGCTCTTCCACCCCATGCACTTTTAAAATCAAGGTGTCACTTTTATACTGTGTCCATCTCCATGCTGGTCTGCCCCTGCCTCTCTTTCTTGGCACCAAGCTTTCTGCTACTATTCTTCCCAATCCGCTGTGGAGCTTGATACGGTCAAAATATGCCAGTTTCCTAGACAAGGTGCTGTTTACTGGCCCTTCTTCCTTCATGTTCAGATCTTTTAGAATATACATTATATTAGCAAACACCAAAAAAAAAAAAAAAATTAAAACAAGTATTATTTATGTTGTATTTGTTTTTAATAGCTAAATACAGTTCTCGTAATTTTGCCCCCTAGTGGTTGCAGGGATTGCATACTGGTGCCTTGGATTTGCCTTCGCTTATGGTCAAGGCAACAGCTTTATTGGCTGGGAACACTGGGCATCAGCAGATCTTCCCAACGCTGGCTTAGCCTTCTTCTTCTTCCAGTTTGTCATTTCTGCCACAGCTTCAACAATCATCTCAGGCGCAGTGGCTGAACGCTGTGAAATGGTGGCATATTTCACATACAGCTTTTTCATTACAGGTACATTGTTTGCATCATTAGCTAAGTTAGCCTACTGTCTTTTTTTTAGGACTTTGCAGAACCAGCTTCCAGTATTTTGTTTTCGTGGCTGCTTGGTCAATTTTAAGTTCAGTATTTATTAATTGTATCAAACGGTCGGCTCTCAAATCTAATGCAAGCGGTCTGCTGTCAAAACGCCAGTAGCTGGCATCTCACCCCTAACGCCTAAGCCACAAACGCCGAATGTCATTAAAAAACTATTAAATATCATATTTTTGCTAACTGTTAATTAAATCGATGCCAAACGTAGCGCAGTTTCCATTCGGCGTGGTAATCTGGTTGTGTAAATCATCTCATAGATTGAAATGTCGGTTACTTCCACGAAAGTCCACCCAGAGACCGCCCATATACACATGTATTCACTTCTGATTGGTCGACTTTGAGTCACCAGACCTTCGCACACTGCTACAGGGGTGTTAAAAAATGCCGTTGATATCGCGTATTGTATATTTAAGCACGCCAACGCTTTTAACACTATACAAACATTTAGAAGCCCCCTAGAGAGTGCTGCAAACTATGTCACAGGATTCTCTTTCTCGGAAGAATAACGTAATGCAAGACAGGCCAGAAAGCAAACATCATAGCGGCACACCCGTAACCACCGGACAGCAGACCAGTCCTAAAATGTTATCAGTTGAACGTTACCTAGTTTGTTTGGGGAGAAGAACTTTGAACTAAATGAAATGTCTAATAACTGATCTTTGATTTACGGATGACGCACCCCAAAACAAACAAAAACATTGCCCAGGAAATGTGTATCACGTAAAGGCAACCAACTTTGAAATTAAATATATCATTTACATATTATAAAGTGATTGCACTTTTTATAGGACCGGCAGCAATATATATGGCAACAGCTGCGATGTCCCAGCTGAATACATTGTGGAAGACCAAAATCAGTTAATATATACATATACAATTCTCTGGTTTTGTCTGTGTGAGAGTTTGACTCTCACTGTGCAAATGGAAAGGAGGGTTCAGGCTTTTGACTGTAAATGCTATAGACGCATTTAACGGATTAGTTATTTAGAACACAAAACTTATTAATATGTCAGAGACAAATTATACAAATTTGAAGTACAAAAGAAGATTCTCTTGGCAGTGATGAAACGTCTCAAGCTAGCTTGGTTTTGGCACTTGGTGACACATCATTTGTTTGCACAGACGGCGCTTCGAGGAATATTGGGGGCGCGATTGAAAGGGGGAAGTCGAAGAAGAGGAGGGCAAATAAGATCTGGAATGACAACATCAAGAAATGCACAGGACTAAGTTATGATACACATATTTAACAAGCTGAACACAGTGAAAGATAGCGGTTTTTATGTGCTAGTGCTTCCATCGATACACCTCCACGACCCTAAAGGGCCAATGGTTGTGTTATGTTATAGATACGGCGGGTTCCAGCTTTTTATTCTGGAAAAGGCGGTGGTTATAGGAAAGTAGGCTAAATACCCAATGCGCCTCAAGATGTCCCGCTGGTCACTGATCTTTACGGACACTCCCCTGGTTGTGGTCAAAATCTATAATTGTGCATGTTCTATTTTCGATTTCTCTAAAGCAGTGCTCTCTAACCTTGCCCCCCCCCCTTCCTTTCACCCCAGGGGGCACAAGGAGGTTTTAGGGGGCGCCAAGCAATCTTGAAATTAAGTGCATTTGTATTTGTAATAATTCGTCTTATTGCTTATCTTTTTTTCAGTTTAATAAAATATTTACCCCAGCTATTTATAAAACAAAAACCAAGAACATTGCTTGATTAAATAAGCAATTTGCGTATATACAGGTAAACATCTAATTATGATGATAGTCAAATTGTCAATAATGTTTATTTTTCAAATCAACGTCATTGCACACGGTTGTAACCTTATAAGTGCTCCGTTCTACTTCTAACTCAATCCTGAGTCTGAAGAATCTTACTACTCTAAGACCAGGTGAAATTACTTAGAAGTCCACGGGAGAAAAAAAATCCCAGATTTCACCGGAACTTGAACCCGGAACCTCCAGTACTCAAGGCGGACACCATATTGTCTTTATCTTTGTAACCATATTTAATTATGAGGTTAGAAAGGGGGATCGGGGTCTTGCCATATACTGTGGGGCAGGGGTGCTAGGGAAGGTCTTGCAATATGCTTAATGGGGGGGGGGGGGGATTGGGTGTCTTGACATATTACTCAAGGAGGCGTGGGTATCTTGATATATTTATACTCAAGGAGGCGTGGGTATCTTGATATATTTATACTCAAGGGGGCGTGGGAGTTTTGAGTGTCTTGACATATGCTCAAATGAGCGCGATGGTCTTGCTATAAACTCAAGGAGGCGGGGAGAGGCGTCCTGAACAAATAAAAACAGTTGGAGACCACTGCTATGAAAAAAAACACTGCTGGCCGAGTAGATAGAATGCTAAGCACTCATGGGCGAGGCCCGGTTTTAAATTCGTAAAGGATAAAAAATTTTAATACTAAGGGAAAAATAAAAGTTCTAACCTGCACAGTACGTGGCTACCACACAAGCCATGCGACCCTAAATCATAAGAGATCTAAGGCGTAATACAGTAGAATCTGACGAGATTTAGTGTTTGCTTGCCAGGTTTTGTTTATCCAGTTGTCAGTCGCTGGGTGTGGTGTTCTCAAGGCTGGCTCAACCAAGGCAACAACTATGACATCAACGGAGTCAGTGAAAACATACACTTTTATGTAAGTGATTTTTGCGTCGGTTTACTTTAGACACTTGCACACCTAGACATGTACACACACATAGAAACTCGGAGAGAGAGAGGAACAGACATACAGAATTGTACGCAATGGTAATGTGTGCTAGTAGTATATAAAACACATTAAATGTCAGTACAGTAATTTCACGCTGATAAATACAAATGTGGCATTTAAGAGAGAGAGGGGGGAGGGGAGAGAGATAGATAGAGAGATAGAGAGAGAGATGAAAAGCAGACATACAGGCAGAGTGGCAAATAGAATGACAGAGTGACACACACACACACACACACACACACACACACACACACACACACACAGACAGAGAGAGAGGGAGAGAGATAGAAAGCAAACAATAAAGAATGAGAACGACTGCTTTTTGTTAAAAATTTTAGAATGATTACGCTCTAAGCCTTGACTGGCAGATGCTGGTAGCCGTACAGATAAAGCACTTCTGATATGGCATCTTTGGCATGCATGCTTTGTTCCAAACGTATTTGTGATACCGTTTCTCTGTACAAGGCAGACAGATGTAGCATAAGTGGATATCAAGCATCAGCATGTGAACCTTACACGGACTCACTTGGATATACGATCAGGGATATGGTCTGGCTACAAAAGCAGCAACAACAGGATCACTCGCACTGGACAAGGGAGAGATTCTGCAGACCATATATATACGAAAGCTGATAGAAGACACGAGATTGAATGAAACAACGTGTGTAGGTTTGTGGGAAAGAAGAATTAGGTGTGTGTCATGCAAGGGGAGACCCATGAGAGAAAGATGTGGGTGTAATCAGTTTGCTACGGTAAAGTTAGCATATACACTATGAGAAATTTGCTGCTTGTGACAGAGTACCACGGTTTGCTATGCTGGCGATTCTTAATTCAGTAAATCACTGGTACGCTGAGAGAGCGTAATATAGGGTTTCACAAGTCCTGCTATGACTTTTTCTAACAAGAGCAGGTCTTGATAGATTCACACGCCATCTGAATCACCTGTGACTCCCATCCCTCCCCCTCCTCCAAAAGCAATAGAATACACTGTCTTCTGGAAAGACAGAATCATACCTTCTAAAATGTGATCATTATTACAGGATTTCGCAGGCAGTGGAGCAGTCCACCTTGTCGGTGGAACAGCATCATTTTTTGGCGCTCTGATTTTGGGACCCCGTAAAGGACGCTTCCATTACGAAAGTAATACAATTATCCACCTTCGAGGCCATTCCGCACCAGTAAGTGGAGATTTACCAAGTGTTCATTCATTTGTTCAGTACTATCAACCAACCGTCGTATGTTAGGCCATACATACATCATACAATATTTTGAACCCTTTGTCTCCGTCTAGTTGTCGGTTTAAAAAAATTATCTGACTAATCGTTTCTGTAAGTCTGTCTTCGTCATTTAGTTAGTATTCTTCTTCTTCATTCGTTCGCTATATCTGAAATGTTGTCTTTAGTATGTACTTCACTGTCTGTTTAATTCATTCAGCGACCCGTAAAATTTGGTTTGCACCGATGATTCTTTTGGACACGTTTTACATGAATATATTATACCTAGGACAGTTTTGGAGGACATGGTCTCATGTCTCAGGTGCTAATCCACATGTACACATGACTGATTCGCAAATCATAAATTTTGCATATATATGGCTGCGAATTCGACTGTGTCCTGTTCTAAAGGTGTAGAATAATGACTTGCTCTTGTTTTTCTATTACATGGTAATCGTCTTTTGCCGGTTTTGGTGTCCATCTGATTCATTGAATTATTATATTTTTCGTCAGGTTTTTCTTGATTTACACCTTCCTCAGCTAGTTTGTCAGCTCTTTCATATCCGGGAACCCCATAGTGGGATTGTATGTAGTTATTATTTTAATTATTTTAGACCCAAAAATGGGTTAGTCTAAGTAAACAATTCTTAGAATAAAATATTTCAAACATTCTTTATATTGCTCAGTGACAAGTGTGGCTGTAGTGTCGACTAAGGTTCCTAAAATTCGTACAGGATAATTTTAATGTGGCGAAATGGTCAGCCAGCCTTGGTCAGTCAGCTTGGGAGTCTTGGGTTTTGAATTCCATTTCAAACTTCCTTGTTGGTTGTAATAAGTACCTACGTTTCTGAGTGATAGAGCTGGTGGCTTGTGTGACTTCTTGGCCGGCGACTACCTTCTTTTACGAGATACTAGGTCAAATGGAATAAAATTCGGTGCTATGAAGTTGATAAAAACAAATTGCCTATCCACACATTAACACTAGTACCTACTGGTCATTTCCTAATGAGCTTTAATAAATTTGTTAAATGTTGAAAATAGGGTTGACAATTAGATTGACTAAAGTTGCTCTTTCTGATGATGTGAAGTAAACAAAGCACAGGCTGTTACTAGGAAGTTCAATAAAGGCAATGGAAATGATGCCCACAGAGATTTAACGGAAAGTTTAGGATTTATTTTGTTTTATTCACTGATAAACAGTGTTTTGAAACGTCTGATTTAACTGTGCCTCTGTGGTGCGGTGATTTATGTCACAGGCGTGAGGGAAAGTTAAGTCCAACATGATGTGTATAAGGAGATACTCTGTACGTCACTCGGGCGCCAGTCCTTTACTGCTCTGGTTGTACGGAACCTCACACAAGACACCTGCAGCACGTCCTCGTCGTGGGCCACGGATAATGTCTCAAATGAGCATTAACAGAGCTGTCAGGGGATCTCGGAGTTTGGCGGCCCCAGAGGTGATGTGTCCTTGTGGCTCTTATCAGCCCACCCCAAACGCATGGGTGTTATCAAAACTCATTAGGAACATGAGTAAAGTGCTTGCCGAATGTACAACTAAAATTACAACCCTTGGTTAAAAGATGGTGGAGTAAAGAGAACATTGTTCTGCTGAGACTCAACCCTTGACCCGCAGCACAGACGAGTAACATCTCCTGTGGGTGGCGTCTCACAGCAAGATTCTGCCCATGTACATCCTCTGTTAACCCTCAGTATCGTCGTCACCGCGCTGAGGTACACTAAGACAGCAACCATCCATCGGCTGGCTAAGCCTAAATGTCCAACAAAACTAGAACCTACGTCACACGAGTAAGCTCAAAATCTGACCATCACAAATCGTATTGAACGGAAAAAGTCCAAATGTCCACACCAAAAGACCCTACTCGCCCGAGTGCTGGGACCAAACAGATAACGATATGCCTGACGCAGGATGTTGAATTTTGTCGGGCTAACGGCTCGAAAAAGAAAGTACCTATTTGGGTGGTCAAAAAAGTCAAAAATTCGCGGGCTGCTCCCCGCTGACTTCCGGAGGGCGCAGCCCTTGTCGAGCGAGAGGCCTAATACGGTTGTGAGGTCAAGCAGGACGTGACGATTCCTTGGGTGAGCTCAGAACCAGAGCGCCATGTGCCGGCTCTGCAAAAATGGAAGCCTCCTTGGATGGCGAGGAATGCCCATGATCTGCCCCTGCCTTCCCTTGAGACCACAAATATAGGCGGAGACTGTTAGCAGCCTAGGCTAGCTAGCAGCAGTCTGAACGTGGTCGAGCTTTTCTTTTTTTTTTCTCAAAAGGACTTGGACTTGAGGGCTAACCGTTCCACGGGGGGCTGCCCCAAAGGGGTACTCCGGGGGCAATACCTGCGGAGAAGGAGACAAAGTGGACACCACACAAATCAGGCAATGTCTCGACCCACACAAAACAATGGCCAAAGTAATCTTAGAAATAGGCCTGACGTCTTCCCTCGAAGTCGCAGTACAGCTGCCCATGAGGCAGGGAACAGCAAAACGGTTGTACACGCAAAACTCAGGTCCAGGTAAAAGCCAAAAGTCCAAGCGGACGATTAACCGGGACTTTCCGCCGGAATTCACAGCCGGTGAACGAAGTAGAAGAAGAAACTGTGCCTCTCTTTACTCATCCTCCGACGAGCTTTATTATCATGTTTGTGGTAATTTGTTCCATGTGGTAAATATTGTTTGTGCATCACTTGTGATGTAAACCACTCAGCATACAAAGCAGTATATGATCAGTGACTGTGAGTACAAAGAAGGCTGATAAGTCCCATCAGAGCTCTGAAAGTTTTTTAACAGTGCAGTCAGGGATTTGCCATACGGTTCTTTCCAGCAATTTTATGTTTCTGTAAGTTTGTCTTCGTCATGTAGTCAGTCTTCTTCTTATTTCGTTCGCTTAAAACATATTATCTATATCTGCCCGTGCCTGTGTACATGAAATTTACTGCAATTTTTTGTTGTTTTAAAGCCTCACCTTGGCTGATGTCGGGTGCCCTTATATAACCTAAGTTATGGGTTGAAGTGGTTTCTGGGACCTGTCCTTGGGTGATCCTCATCCGAATAGTGGCATTCTGTGTTACCTGGTGTTTATCGTTTGTTGTGATGTCCTAGTGGGGTTGAACGTCATCAGCATCTTCTCTGCCTGTGCAGCGACCTCTATCTGGCAGGCAGCAGCACAATTCTTGAGGATCGTACGCCGTTCTGATCTGTCTTGAGCAACATCCTCCGTTGTGTGAAGGTGTGCCTTAAATTTGTTTACACCCTGTTATCATTTGTTGAATAAGTGCTAATCAGTAACCATGCCTTGTAATATATATATATATATATATAAAGCACACGTGTTTCAGATGACCGCTTTCGGAACTTTTATTCTCCTTGTTGGTTTTATGGCTTTCAACGGAGGTTCCCAGTTATCAATAACCAACCCTGGAGACGGAGAAGCTGTTAGTTTGTCCATTGTCAACACTGTGCTTTCTGCAAGCGCTGCCGGTTATACATCTGTATTTATTCGCAGGTGAGCAAAGTTAATTATCTTTATTTAAGGTAAAAGGTTAAGGCCGAGATGATCGGATTCATAGCTTGGTCTCTCTCCACAAAATAGCTGGCTACCTGCTGAGTGTCGCTCAAAGAACGAAAACCGTAGCTCCAGCGATGATCCCCGGGGCAAACGTAAAAATTGCAAATTGAGAAACGACAGACGCAGCCGTGAAACGAACGCACAATCTTCAGAGCACGAGGCAAACGGCTTGACCACTTTGCCTACGAGAGCCCCTATTGTTTATCGCCAATACAACCAGCATCACATTGTTTACCATTTTTGAGAGGCCAAGATTCCGTGCCCACTCTCAACCGTATCTTTATATTTGGAGCTCTAATTATCTTCAATGACAATTTACCCGTGCATTCAGTGGCATATCCGTAGATGTTGAGATGGCATCCTAAGGAAAAAACGTAGGTAAAGTAAGTAAAGGTCCTTTTTCCACGCCTTTAGACGTATAGGGCATATAGGGCTAGACCTATATTTTATAGAACAGTCGGCACAAGATAGGTGATGTGGTCATCACCACGCCAGCCGCTTTTACTTCCCGGGATTGCACCTGGTACCTCTCAAGGCTAGGTCGACCTGGGAGCCAAGGTCATTTTTGAGAAAAGTCCGGCTCCTCCAGGGAGCGAACCCATGACCTTCCGATCCGCAGCGATCGTCTAGCCTCTCCAACCCCCCCCCCCCCCCCACCCTCTTAGATAAGTAAAGGATATTGCTAAAGCCAGTGACGCAACTTCTGTTGTGTGTGGTACCGGTTGAGAGCAGCTGGGACTAACTAGCATGGTGACTGGCACAAACAATGAGACATACTTTCGACACGGAAAGTTTTGTGGTAAAGAGCTGACAAGAGACCAAGTTTCTTTCAAGTGGTCTGTGATGGAAGCGACGTTATTGAGGATCCTGCTACTCAATGATTATTACATTCATGACAATCGAAAATTGTAGACGTTTAAACATAAGAGGTTTGAATGCGGAACATATAAAAACGATCAAGTTAGTAATATAAAAGGACGCTTTTAAAAGACACTGCGGAAGACCTGCTGGTACATTATGGAAGCCACCGTGGTGTAGCGGAAAGACACACTTGTGCGAATTCGAAGGTACTTGTTCAAATCCGCATAGTGCTGAATTGAATTCAAACGTTACATTGGCTCCCAGGTCGACTGTCACGCACTTTTGATGCAGAAGTTGTTCAGTGCAGCAGTGTCTTTCTCTGCTCTTTTTAAAAAAAATAGTTTGCAATTACTTTGCTATTTCCAAGCTACATCATTCAACTCCAAACGTTGTGGTCCTATATTTGTAGCATACATTAAAGCCTTGGAACAATTACAAAATAATTATCTATTAAAAAAATTGTATCGATCGCCATTAACGGCTTTATTTTAGTCCCAGACTTGGCTTTGTCCTAATAAAATGTTGCTTTAACTAATGTGTATTTGGGTTACAGTACCAACAAAGGTTACAGTAACAAATGGACAGAGTTAGCTGGTTTAACAGCTGAGTTCAGCACGAATGTAATGCCTCACTCTTACCGGACTGCAAGCTAAACCAATGGGGCTGCGTGGTATCGGAGCATGGTGTCCGCCTCGAGTGCTAGAGCTTCCGGGTTCAATCCCTAGTAAAGGCTGGGATTTTTTCAAGTGGACTTCGACTTCTAGTAATTCCCCCTTGTCTCTATGTAGTGAGATCGGACGCCCGTGTGCATTGTTGCGCAGGTAAAAGATCCCTAGGCATTTGAAAATCGAAAAGAGTAGCCTAACAGCGATGCCTGGGCATAATTTGTAATTGAAAATCTACCAAAAGTATTTCAGGATACTCACTGGTGCTACAGAGCCTGTGCACTGTGCTGAGCTTCTTCGGACTCAGGCTAGAGTTAGAAAAAAAACGAAACATTTATGGGTTACTACCCGTGTGCCATGACGTTGATCCTTTGTTCAAAAACCTCAAAAACTCAAGCTAAATCAACAATGTGTAGCCTTTACGATGCCCCAATAATAACTTCTTCAGAGGTTGAAGGGAGTAGCCAGGATTTGCCCAGTTGGTCTGCCATCCAGAATGAGATTGTCTAAACCAGTCTGTCACAGATTCTGGTAGCAGTTCAGAGGAAAAAGTAGGATGCTTGATTAATATCCTACCCCAAACAGTAAAAATCCACAGGTCACGCGACAGTATAATTTCAGGTGGTGGTAAATAGGCTGCATGCAGTCGCGGGACCTAGGCTGCATTCAGTAGTGGGACCTATGCTGCACTCTCTCGAATGACGTAGGTGGTTGGCATTGGAGCTAGTTCTATATGTTTTGGGGTCGTTGAAAGCCTCAGAAAGCTGGGAAATTTAGTCTTACCACCGTTTAAATTGTTAGACTGCCCTGTGACGTCACCTGAGGTAGGATATAAATAAAGAACCAAAAGGGGGGAGAATCGATAGGCAGACACGCGAGCACAATAAGTTTATAAAGTTATTTTATTTGCATAGAAACAAAGAATAAAGATCTTCTTGTTAAGCAAATTAAGTAATACTGGACCCTGTTCGTGCCTTTAAGGCACATAGTGCTAGATTCATGGTTTTTTCCTGGCGGTACGTAACGGTACGCAGTTGCAGCACATTTTAAAGACATCAATTGATTTTAGCGCTACTGTAAAGGACACATTGGGGTAAGTACCGGCACTTTTTTTACAGAAAAAAAAAAAACATGCCCAAAACCTTTTTGGGTTTAAATACTTACCGTGATTGTGTCAACAAAACGCCGACGCCTCTACATTCCATGATATTTCCTGGTACCCATTACAGGCTAGTCTGACCTGGGAGACCTGGGCCGTGTTATTTAGCACTGAATGCATTCAAGAGTCCTCGACCTCAGATACCGACCTAAAAAAAACAGTTTACAGCTGATTGCATTTAAACATGCACAAATGTCTTAGTATTACTGCTTTTTCTGTTTTCAGAGCTGGCATACTTGGCCGAAACTGGAGTTTAATATACACAGTCAATGGCGCTATCGCAGGCATGGTGCGTATGTTTTAACATCTTCTTCTTTTTGTTTTTGTTTTTCTTCTTCTTCTTCTTCTTCTTCTTCTTCTTCTTCTTCTTCTTCTTCTTCTTCTTCTTCTTCTTCTTCTTCTTCTTCTTCTTCTTCTTCTTCTTCTTCTTCTTTTTTCTTCTTCTTCTTCTGTCTTTTTAGCCCTCATTGAAGCATAGGCCCTCAACCAACTCCCGCCAAGTCGTTCTAGCTTTTGCTATCTATTGCAGCTCTTCCCCTGTCTTCCCGATCTTTCTAACTTCATTCTCCAGCTCCCTTCTCCATGTATTTTTTGGCTTTCCTCTATACCTATGCCCCTGTGGGTCTAGTGCACAGAAATTCTTGTTATATTGTTCTCCGGTTTTCTCAATGTTTGTCCTGTCCAACGCTAATCTTTTCTTCACCTCATGTTCCGTTGAAGCTTGCTTAGTTCTCTCCCAAAGCTCTACATTAGTGATTCTATCAAACCATTTAATTCCGTTATTATTATTATTAGTAATTGCCTTAGTTGTTCTCCGTG